TATAAGCACGCCTTTTAGGCAAGAGCACTAGTAGACCTCTGTTTGGACGCTAAAGCCAGGGTAGCTGGGGGAAATTAAAGTAAGGACTTATCACCACAGAAGGAAGAAGCTCTTATAGTGGCTCAGTAGCTGCTCAGTATTCTCATTGCACAATAGAAGCCATAGTGGATTGTACCACAATACACCGAATGGACGCTCTTTGGGAATTTCTGTTTTACATTCTATAAAAAAAACTGGAAAGTTTCGAAGTTCATGTGTTTTTGATTTATGACTTAACTTGCTTCTCTTTGTTATACCCAGAGAAGATGCACAAAATGAAAGGATGAACGTCAGGTTACTTTAGAAGCAAAGACGGTGCGTTTTGCAACATCTTGCATTTGTTAGGCTGCGGTTTTTGTATCCCTGTGTTTGCTTTATGACATATCTCTAAATGTTTGACTGTGTTCATTAGACCTTAGCAGTGCTTTTGGAGTCCACAGGATAAAATGTATATTGATCTAGCACAATGGGCAGCCAGAAAATGCACCACATTCACTGCAGTGAGTTTGCCAACTCCATTCACTGAGATGGATTTTATAGACAACTAACAGTGCCCGGCCTTCGCTGTTAGTGAGGGCCTGGATTCTAGAGGAGGGAGAAACCGTAGACATTTCTTTACAGCCAAATTAAAGCATTGAGTTAAAAAAAAAAAAACTTCTTTGTCTGAAAACGACAGCAAGTCACATTAAAAATGTATGCATGCACGCAGCCTGCAAGTCATTGGGCTTATTTGATAGGGTTATGTTTTCAAAAAAGCAACCTAGAACTATTAAATCAAGCTGTATATTCTTTTTCATTTCATATCTTTTTTCTTAAAAGCACTTCTTTCCTTATCGGAGAGGAACAGCCTTTTACCATGTTCTGACTGTTGATGTTATATAGTTTGTGACGCACGTGCTTGGAACGTAATAAACTCAACAACCAGCTGATCCAAGCTGACTTGGCCAGAGCGTGAATGAGTAAAAAAACAACTACACATAAGAAATATTAGAATAGAGCCTGTTGTGATGTTAAAAATATCGGCCAATATATTTAAATATGAGATTTTCAAATCAAGAAATTCCAATATAGGTCTTAAAATCCTCTATTGATCCGGCTCTGATAAGAAAAGAATGAGACCTTCATTTTTAGTTGTGTTTTCTACACAGTACAATTCTAAACATCAATAAAAACGCCAGGAATAATTTTTGTTTTGGTTATCAGCATGCTGATATTAACAGCCATATAGCCGTTTTATTTGGTTCTTTTGAGCCAGTTCTGATATTTAGATGAGTGTTTAATCATTAGCTAATGCTAAGCAAGCTTGATTAGCAAGCTGCATCCATAAACCATACAGATTTGTTGGATGGGCTGTGCCTCAAAGGAATAATTATTTATCAGATAATTCCACAAACCTGGTGATGCCTGAAACTGCAGATGGCTTCCACAGTTCTCAGTAGAGGTTTGTTCTTTGGTTTTTTTAGCATTTGATTTTTCACGTGTTCCACAAAGGAGGCCTACATGTCTGACTGTGACGCTACAGAATACTCTGTAAGTCATGTGTGGAAAAGTGAAGAATATGTTGACAAAAATAATAGAACACCTTTTACCAGTGCTCTATTTTACCTTTAAACATAGTTTACATTTTACATTCACACACTAATGATCTCATATTTACTAATTTGCATAACCGAGGTAAGCATTCAATTTATGTGTGACATTTAGGTTCCTCACTTGTTGTGGTAAAGGTCAAATCATTCAGCCTGTGCTTATGTCCCAAACCTAAATTGGCAGGCCTTTAGTGAACTGTCACTTGGAAACAGTCACCTGGTGACGCGCATCTTTTTTAATATTGTGCTGAATAATTTCACCCTAAATAAACAGTTATTGTAGATCACTGAAACAGAACAGAAAGCTCTGTTTATTTAATGTGTCGTTTTTTCCCCCCCTTTTTTCTTTTGATTTATTCCAACTTATTATGCTTCTCTTTCTGTCTCTCTGTCTTTCTTTCTTCCTTCTCCGGTAAGCATTTTAAATCAGGGTCACAGTAGGGAGGCAGGCTAACAGGTTCAGCTCCGCACACACATCTCTATCTCTGCATTCATCAAAGCATACTATATTTTCTCTCTCTCTGTGTGTCGCTCTGTAGGGAGTTTGGCTGGAGGGATCCAGAGCTGCCAGAGGTGATCCAGATGTTGCAACATCAGTTCCCATCAGTTCAATCCAATGCTGCTGCTTACCTCCAGCACCTCTGCTTTGGAGACAACAAGATCAAATCTGAGGTATCAATCACTGAGGGAAGCCTGCACAGACACAAGATTCTCACACACGGAGAAATTAAATATGTCATATTTAATTGACATAAATTAAATTATTTAATTTAATTGATGTCATAGCGCTACATCATAATGTTGCTTACACACACACATGCATGCTTTAACTCTGTAAGTTTAATCAGAACACCCACTGAAATTCTTTCCCAGGGCTTCCTCTGGTGCAGATGAACATTAAGGTAGAGTTTGAGTAATGTTCTGTGGTTTGCTGAACATTTTTTCGTCAGTGCTTTCTGTGCCACAAGTACGATTTCAGAGCTAGGTGCTCTATGACTGTGTGTGTGTGTGTGTGTGTGTGTGTGTGTGTGTGTGTGTGTGTGTGTGTGTGTGTGTGTGTGTGCTCGCATTAAAAATGTTTTTCATACTTATGGAACAGATAAATGGTGAAATAATACTGCAACTTCTCCACGGTGCTTTCTGTGTGGATTCACCAATAATGTTCCTGAAGCAGACTGCCTGTGGTCATTCTAGCATTGCAGCGCATCAGTTATCTTGCCAGCGGGCCTTACTTAAATTACACATATTGACATTTTGGAACAAACAGTAGTCTTTATTTACATGGCACCTCCACAAAGTGCTTTTTTCTGAAAACAATCTACAGCAACATAACATTTTAAAAAGAACACAGTAAAGAAAATCAACTATATATTGCAACAATGTATGCAAAAAAAAATTTAAATAAGAAGTGACTAATTTTAGATAAAATTTTGAAAACTGGATAATCAATAAAGCAGTTAAAAGCAACCCAGAAATAACAAATGAATGCAGAATGCATCAAAACAAAACAAAACGGCAAAGTAGCAGATAAGTATGCCTGCTTTTCACTAGAGTTTTTTTTAAGACAGACCCAAGTCTCTGATTTGTCCTGATTGTCTGTAAATGAGTTGTTCTAAATGCACCCAAGCACCATCATCTTTGATCATGGGTCACCATGAGAGAAAACAAAGTTTTGAGTCTTTAAAGCCAAATATATATCGTTTTTGACTATTCTTACGGTGGCCCTGAAAGATCAAACACACTGCAACCAGCTTGGGAAGTGATGAGGTAAGAGTGCACGGTTAATATTAAATCAAAACATACATTATCTGCATCTTTTTCTCCCTCCCAGCACAGAAGAATCTTCTGCTTCTTTTAAGCGTGAATCAATGCGGTCTTTCCCGTGTTTTGCCTTCAGTCACTTCCACGGCTATTCCCTCACGCTGCTGTTTCCCCCAAAAACACTCCTGCTGTGAGAGTTGTTCCAGCTTTTTTTCTGTTTGCTGGTGTTTTCTTAAGTCGCAGTGTGTTTGACCTCTCAGGGCCACCCTATATTCTTTGTCCGTTACACCAGAAGATTAAAACACTAAACAAAGTAAATGCTAACGATCAAAGCATTCATTCCGAATAGGTCTGATGCTCGGAAACCCAAAGGATCCGTCGCCGTTGTTTGCGGATGCTTAGGAGCGACTTGAGGAACATGACAAAGAGTCCAAAGTGGAGCAAGATAACACAGAACACCCCCAGATGGCTGTGTTTGCAGCACAAGGGGGCCCTACCCAGTATTTAGACAGAGGTTTTGCTGTTGTAACAGATTTATGTCTATTGATGCTGTTTTCCACCACAGCTGTTTGCTTGATCTAATTAACTGAAAGCCCATCATGCTTTAGGGCTGGTCTGGCTGTCCTCGCATCCCGCACAGTGTTTTTTTTGTATTCATTTTTCCTCGGAAGTAAACCTGCATGCAAATAGATGCCTTTGTTGAGTTCACTAATGTAATGTTGGCGCTTGTGAGTTCAACCAAGAGTAAAAAAATAAAGTCTTATGTAATTTGTATGTACTGTACCAGGTGCCATTGCTCTCTAACACAAGAACAAAGATAAAGCAAGCAAGGGGTTAATTTTAGCTGAACTCCTCCTGAAGATGAGAATTACAGCTGCTGTTTTCTTCCTCCTTAGTCCTCTTTTGCTTTTTAATATGAATGAGTTAGCTAGTGTGTTTTCATAGAGGGAGGAGAGGAGCTATGTAGTACCAGAGACCAATGTGCAGATCATAATCATGCCACATAATAAATAACTTTATATGATAAATGTTTTATGAAGCTTAAGCACAAAAATCTACACATTGAAAAATCTGGTTAATTTGTTAACTTATTAAGTCCCTAATTGGAATTGATGAAGAAAGCTTTCTCTCAGTGTTCTTCATTCAGGATAAAGAACACCTGATTAGCATCACACATTGTGAGAAATCAGATGCTGAGCTGGAAGGCGGTGAATCTGCCCAGTTTCTTCATAGGAATCTTTTATGCTTTTCTCGGCATTATCTAGTTCTCTTTGTTGCGGCAAGTAATGAAGAGAACTGCAGTATGAAGTATGTGTCTGCACTGCAATATGTGAAGGTGTTGCTGAGTGTAATGCATTACATCAAGAAATGAAGATTGAAGACATGCCTTTGTTCACAATAAACTCTGCCCCAGTCGTGCGCACCTGCAGGAGCTCCGCCACACTGCTCATCAGATGGCATTAACTCCTCATTACGAGCACTTAACCCAGTTTTGCTTATAACTGCGTGCCTACACTTGCTCCTCCTGTCCTTTGGAGCCATCACTGCTCAGTGTCTTGCAGAAAACAGTTTCATCTGTCTCCTCAATGTCAACTCAGTTCAGCTCTGTTCACTTTATTAATCCCCATGGAGGAAATGGATTCGAGGGCAAACAAAGTTCTTCAAACAGCAATGAGCCAACAGGCATTAAAAAATAGAGTGAGGGAGAGACGAGGGTGTGTAAGATGACTGATGAAGTATGGTAGTATGTAGCGCAGGACTGCCAAAACTACAACCCAGGGGCCAAGCTGTTTTTGTCCTTGAGAAAGATGCCTGACTGGTGAAATAATAGACAGAGAGATCTCAGCCCGTTCCCATTCTCAAGGTGTCAAATACTGCTGTTATTCCAGAGCTGTTGGCATTCCCAAAATTACGCATAAGATGTGTTTTGTGTTTGTGCGTGAAACGAGTCTAGACAGTACTAAGTTTGATCTGTCACTTGATTGTAACACTTCTGGGAGACCCCTTGAAATAAAAGCCCTTTAAGCATCATTTTTCAACTTGCAGAATTATTGTAGCACTCTGTCCTTTAATCACAGGGTGGTTTGGATGTTTTTTTTGTTTTTTTCCTAAACCTTACCAAAACATTATAAGGTCTAAACGTAACCAAGTACTTCAGTGCATTCAGTCATGTGAAAAGGAAAGTTTTCACAGGACTTTCTGGACCCCATGATTCAATACCCTGCAGGACCATGTTTAGCAGTCATTTTCTGCATGACTTTCTCAGTCTCTCACATTATTGCTGAGTAATTACGTCCCATTCTTCTGTACGAGATCGTTTCAGTTCCTTACGATTTATGAACATCTGTTTATGCACAGCTCTCTTAAGGTCTCAGCAGTTCAATCAAGTTGAGGTCCAGGCTTTTTCCACACTGAGATTCTTTTGTCCTGATGCATGATCCCATCACGAGTTGTAGAATGTGGATCCAAACACTCAGACTCAGAATGCAGGAAGGAATTAACAAAAAGAGAACCATTTATTAAGGCTGTTGGCAGATAATCCACAAAAAAGGGATGAAACAAAAAGTCCAAAAAGGAACTGAAAACTATAAAGTATTGGAAACATAAAGACAGCTGAACTAAATCACAGAGCAAAAGCAAAGCACAGCTATCAAAATAAAGCAGGAAGTGAGATAACTAAACAGGGAAAACACACACGTGAATGAGGTCGACACAAGAGGATGGGAACCCTGATGAAGGAAATAGACTCTAAAGCATCTATGAATTAGACTAAATATACTGAAAATACATGAATCAAACCATGAGTTGAATAGATTATTTAAATAAACAAAACCTGAAAGCCCAAAAACCACAAATACCATGTCAAATGACCCAGAACCTTGACAGACCCAGTTTAGCTGTCAGAGTTGGCCTACATTTGACTCTGGAGTACTTTGGTATACAGAGTAGTTCATAGTTGCCTCAGTGACTGGTACCTGCCCAGGTCCTGCAGCTGCAAATCAATCCCAAATCATCACCCCTCCACCACCGTGTTTGATAGTTGGGATGAGGTATTTGTGCTGATATTCTGTGTTTGTGTGTTTGTTTTTAGACAAATGTGGCGCTTTGCATTATGACCAAACATCTCATCTTTGGTCTTGTCTCAAAGGGTCCTTGAAAGTAGAGTAATACATACTACGTATGTTTACTTCCAATTCCACAACTGTTCTGTTTTGTTGCTAACAATAATAACCACGTACTCTTACCAAATACTCTTAGCGCCGTTCATTTTAAGTTTTTGTTGTTTGAATGTTTGCACAGCATGACTGTAAAACAAAACAAAATTGAATAACTTAAAAAAAACAAGTTACACGTCACCCTTGGTAAGAAAGATCTCCATATTTTTGTTCCCTCTATCTAAAAGAAAAAGAGGTAAATCTACAATCACTTTGCTGCTGGTTGTATTATTTGGGGTTATGTGTTGGTTTATTAAAATGCACTTGTAATTGCAGTTTTTTTGACACAATATTAAGTTCTTTATATTATCCTAACCACCCCAGGTTACAGGGAATATGTAGTGACTGATTTTGTAAACAGCCAGTATCGGCTCTGGCATTTTCAAACACATCTGTGCAATAAGGCTTAATGCTGCGGTACAAAAGTCATGTTAGACAAGCACACCTACCATATCTCTGCACAATCTCTTCCACTGCTTTTGTTTTTATGGAGAGGAGCCAGTCTGCCCTACATTTTCTCGTTGTCTAGACAGAAGAAAGCAGGGAGGGCTGATAGGACAGAAAGTGCAGTGGCTGGCATTTCAATAAATCTCGTATCAGTGAGAGGAGCACCAGCATAGCCTGTTTGTTTATTTTAGTACTAACAAGGTAAAAAGTACAATTCATCTGTTAACATTTTGTGAGGAGATTGGGGTAAACAATGCTCCAATGTCTTTCAGGCTAAATAAAAACACCCCTCGTTTTATTATAATCCACACCTTATATCTGTCCCTCCTTTCTGGTCTCAGATTCGGCGGCAGGGTGGAATCCAGCTGCTGGTGGACTTGTTGGACCACAGGATGACTGACGTGCACCGCAGCGCCTGCGGAGCCCTGAGGAACCTGGTGTATGGCAAAGCCAACGACGACAACAAGATCGCCCTGAAGAACTGCGGAGGCATACCCGCTCTAGTGCGACTGCTCCGGAAGACCACAGACGTGGAGATCCGAGAGCTGCTCACAGGTAACACACGTGCACATACGCTATCTAAACAAAAGTTTTGGACCACGCCTCTTTATCTTTGAATCCTGGTGTTTTCAGTCTCATTGTCACATTGTATAAAATCAAGCACCTAGCCATGCAGCCTGCCTTTTAAAACATTTATGAATGAATGGGTCATTAAAGTGGTCGCTCCATACAATCGAGTACAGGTCAATTTGTGAATTCTCTTCCCTCCTAGATCTTCCATACCATAGCAACTTAGATACCAAGCCAGACAATAGTTACAAATTACAGAGCGAGATCGCTCCAAAACCTCTTTTAGATTAAAAACTGGCTGCTTCATTACATGTGCTACAATGGCTGAGCAGTTCTTGTTGGTGTAATCTATAAGTGGCCCAGTACTTGTCCGTATAGTGTATTTTGAAGTTGCCATCATTAGTGAATACTCACCATATTTCCTGGGAACTAACCAGATGTGTATCCTTCTCCTAGACAAATGAGGCTTTTTTTGTAGAACATTATGTGAACCTCAACTAGCACTAGGCTTGTTGGACATTTCAGCCTGAGGAAAGGGCTTGAAATTGAATCAACAGAGTCATGGGCAGCTAAGGCTCACTGATTCACATGTTGAGCGAAGGCTGGCCTGTGTGGTCCGATCCAACAGATGAGCTACTTAAGCTCAAATTACTGAAAGAGGGAATGCTGGTTCTCATAGAAAGGTGTCAGAATACACAGTGCATCATTGCATAGCTGCAGAGAAGTCAGGGTGCCCATACAGGACATAAAGGTCCTGTTGCTAATATACCAAATACTATAAAACTGTAATTCAAGAAAAAGTCTCAGATTTTCTACCTGTGGGTACTCCTTCGTACTATAGTCCCTATATAGTCCTCACACACGTTATTTTCCTTCACATGGACAATACAGATATGACTATATTTACAGAGAGCAGTCCAAGACACAAAACATGCCGCATTATGCATGTTTCCATTTACACTTCAGCACAAATACAGAGGCACACACACACTCACACAGAGGAGACAACTGTTTACTGCCTGCCTACTTCCCCGTACTCATCAAGTGCTGTTGACTTGTCAAACTGAATTTCTGTGCAAAGGTCTGTACTGCACTTGTATCCACAGCATGATTGTATCCTCTGTGAGTAAACACAAATATCTCCATAGAAATTGTGTTCAGGGTGGACTAATTTGAGGTTCTATAATCCACGTGGAGGTCAGCATTTGTAAACTCGGATAGATTAAAGGATTACCAGCAACGCCTCTTTTTTACAGCATTTACTGTATCCTGGCAATCTCTTTTCTGATTAGAGTTTACATGGACGGCCACACACTCTTACCTCTCGAGAGGGATGGAGAGATGATGGAGCCAGAAGAGGAATGTTACTTAATTTTCAAACTGATCTACAGCCAGAAACTCCCAGGGGTGGGGCGGGGTGTTTCCAGTCCATGAGCCAAATGAGAAATATAGATTTCTCTTACCAGCACCAGTACTCATGAAAACATCTTTGCTATGGAGCTGCAAAGAGATGGATATTTGTCCTATGATTTATGCCTTTTATTGCCGTAGTCAGCCTGTGAGGACGTGTAAGCAAATCAGTGACAACATTAATACCACTAACAAATGAACCAAATAGTAACAAAGATCTAATTCTCTGGGAATCCTTGGGTTGATCTTTGCCACTGATGGGTCGGTACTGACCTAAACAAACTTTGTTCCCTTCCCACTGGCAGTGGCCTCCCCTCAGCAGGACAGTGCCACTCGCACACGGAAAAAATGCTAGGCATTGACTTGAGGAACATGACAAACAAGGTGTTGATAAGCTTACATAGCCCATTCTGGTCGAGCATATATAGAATGCATGGTTGCACTGTCCTCCGACCAAGAGGACCCAAAAGAACCAGACATCAGAGGACATTCCCATGTATCTATGCCCTGATGGGTTCAAAGCTATTTTGGCAGTGAAAGTGGGTTGTTTCATTGTCGTCTGATTCCTGTAATTGTCTAATCTAGTACTAGACCACATGAAACCATTACTTAGCCATGCCAAATTTGTACTAGATTAACAGGAAGAGTGTGAAACTGAAGTCTAATCCATATCTACTCAATTCACAGAATTGTTGTTCACAAACAAGAGTGTTTCAATTCAGAGAAAAACCCAAAAATCATATGACCCCCTATGAGCAAGCACTTTGGCAACAGTGGGAAGGAAAAACTCCCTTTTAACAGGAAGAAACCTCCGGCAGAACCAGGCTCAGGGAGGGGCAGGGCCATCTGCTGCGACCGGTTGGGATGAAAGAAGGAAACAGGATAAAGACATGCTGTGGAAGAGAAACCGAGATTAATAACAAGTGTGATTCAATGCAGAGAGGTCTATTAACACATGTTGAGTGAGAAAGGTGACTGAAGAAGAAATACTCAATGCATCATGGGAATCCCCCAGTAGCCTACATCTATTGCAGCATAACTAAGGGAGGATTCAGGGTCACCTGGTCCAGCCCTAACTATATGCTTTAGCAAAAAGGAAAGTTTTAAGCCTAATCTTAAAAGTAGAGATAGTGTCTGTCTCCCGAATCCAAACTGGAAGCTGGTTCCACAGAAGAGGAGCCTGAAAACGGAAGGCTCTGCCTCCCATATTCTACTTTTAAATACTCTTGGAACAACAAGTAAGCCTGCAGTGCAAGAGTGAAGTGCTCTAATAGGGTGATATGGTACTACAAGGTCATTAAGATAGGATGGGGCCTGATTATTTAAGACCTTGCATTTTGATTCCAAAAGAAGAATGTATTGCATACAAATGACATCACAGGGCTTTTAGGCCACCTTGCTATAAGGACCTTACCCACAAACTGAGTATCGTTGAGTCAAGCTGAGCCGAGTAGGTACTAGTGGAAAAGAGGCATTAGTTATGCTGCAGTAAGCCTAGGCTGCTGGGGACTTCCCATGCGCTGTTTCTTCTTCACTCTTACTGCTCTGCATCTACTCATTAGTCATGATTAATCTCTGGCTCTTTTCCACAATGTATTTATTGTCCTGTCTGATTGTTGATAGCACCAAGAGTAATTTGGTACAATTACGTGGGATATTTAGGCTCGACCTAGATTTGGGGGAATACAGTAAAGTCCTTTTTTTCTGTTTCACAAACCTGAAATCAGGTTTTTAACAGCATTCTTATTTTATCGAGGATGTCTAACACCATTTCATGACAGTATTCTAAGCAGCTAACAAATTCTTGGAGACATTAGGAGAGGTTTCAGTCCAGCTTAGCTGTAACTGTGAAAACTTGTTTTCCCTCTCTGCAAACTGTCCAAAAGCAAAGTGTCTCCTCACACAAAAGCTGCACAGAGCCTTTGCCCACTTTCCAAATTATTTACAGCAGCACTTCACACATCAGGCTGATGTGAGATATTGGTGAGAGACAAACAGTTTAAGAAGTATATGGGCTGATATCCCACAGTTCTGAATAGTAATGGAAAAGTCTTATTAGGAAAGTTAAACCAAGAAGCATGTCAGCTCCAACATACAGCCACATGGTGTTGAGTTTGACCCGCGTGTGCATTTCTGAATATGCATATGTGTGTAGTGAGTCTAGAAAAGGTTTTAGGCTTAGCAGAGATGGAAATAAAAGGGTTTTGTATGCTGCTAGAGTCTTAAAGAAGATTACCATATAAATTAGAGAAGCAATTCAAGGCACGAAGCACAGAAATCCCTCCTGTCACAAATTAATCAGCTGAACGACCGACCGGACGTAGACAGACCATGCTCTCCTCTCTTCTGTCTCTCAAAGACCCAGAGGAAATAACTCTCTCTCCCTCCCTGTTTGCCAGCCTCTCTCACTCCCTCTCTTATCCCTCTGCGCTCAGATTCTTGTAATTGGTCTCTCTCTTTTCTCCTGTCTCTCTCCTGTCCTCTTTGCCTTTCTCCATCTCCCTTTTTTCCCCCATCTTTTTCTATATTGCCTGCCCTCTCTGGCTCTTGCTTGCTCTCTGGTGAGCTTTTTGAATCAGGATCACAGTGGGAAGTCAAGCTGCCTGCCTTGGTAGCTACAGACTCGCACAGACACGCAAACATGCACAAAGGGCTGGTTCACAAGCACACACATTCATTCACGTGTGCAGCTTGCTTCATGGCACAAAAAGTGACAAGCAGGCTTGTTGCTCTGTGATCTTCAGTCTCTTTCAGTTCAGTAACTACGGTCCTTTTTTTTACCTTTTGTCTTTAGAACTAATAAAGGTTATATGGGGGGAATAAAGCAGATTGAAAACACCAAATATCAGAATTACTGCTGATGCATGATTGTGTGTTCAACATCTTTAGTTCTTCATGTTATTGTTGTTCTCTGTGCACCTCAGAAGTAGGTGAGGTTGTGCTCCATTCTGTTTCCAGTACGTTAAATTTGCCCGGAGCTGACCCTGGGCACCCAGGCGAGACGGGCAATAGTTAGACTCTGGGTTTGCTGAAAGGGAAAGACTGCTGCCCCTGGATCCAGACAAGCAGCAGAAGATGGATGGTTGGACATATTGACGGATGGAATACAAATGTTAGATTTATGAAGAATTATCAAAATAGTGTAAAGCAGGGGTGTCAAATTCAATTGCACAGGGGGCCAAAACTCAAGGCACACTTTAGGTCACGGGCCAAACAAGATAAACATTTATTGAACACACTAAAACAATGTTTTTTAAACATAAATATGAATAAAAACAGACAGGAATATTATTCCAGATTAAATAAACTTAAAAAAATAAACTTTAACTTTAAATAAAATAAAAATATGTCCTGTCAAAATTATGCAAGTTAGAAATATGAACATGCTGCCAAAAACCCCAGAAAAAATAAATGAAAGCACACACAAGGTTCGAGCCGCATGTAGACGGAGCTGGGCATTGCTTCAGGAATGGAACTAATAATCTGTGCGGGCCATTCAGTGTCGTACTTTCCCTTGAGTGTATCATTACACCGCAGCTCCATCTGAATCTGCACAGGTGCAATTCAGCAAAGTC